ATCCTTCTTTTCACTTCTTTATAACCATTCATTATTTTTTATTCAATTAAGTATTCTGAATAGTAATAACACAAATTTATTTTTTTATAAGTACAATCCTCCAACATTTTTATTACTATATACTCGGACATAAATCATGAGGACAAAATGATTTTTTTTTTTTTTTAATAAAGCAATTTTGAATTGGAAATGCAATTAAATTGCAAATTTATCTAATATAAATTCCATATGAATTTTTTATATATAATATACATGAATTTAATTATACCAATATTGGTATATTTATGATTGTCTGGAACATAAAAAAAAATTAGGTATATGAAGATTAAACCATTTAATCCACTCAAATAACATATGAGAAATGCCTTAGTAAATTAGTGAAGAAAAGAAGATGTTCTTTAGTGTCCATTTCCTATACAAATTTATATTTAAACATATTTTTACTATATATTTTTAATATTGTAATATAATAAGATTATTTCGAAAATATTTAATTAAAATATGTGTTAAAAATTATAAATCTTTTCAGTTTTCTGATAATTAATTTGTAATTATAAAATATTTAGAGGATATTGTTAAAGAATTAAAATTTATTTCTAAGATAAAATTGGATTTGACTAAAATTTTGGCCTGTAAGCACTCACTGTGATTCTAATAGTGCTTAACAATAATAATAGACAATAAAAGAGTTCATAAATACAATTTGGTAAAACATTTGAAAACACAAAATCTATATCATTCATAAACTTAAACTCAATTCCATAATTTTATAATCTTCAATTTTTATTTCATAGCCTTAATTAACACTCAGAATTTGCCTAAAAAAACCTCCTTTTTCGCTATACTTCCGAATATGATCTAAAAATTTTTATTTTATATTTCAATATTTAATTAAATAAAAAACGCAACTTATTTTTATTTTTTTATGTATTTAATAATGCATTATTGAAATTTGTATGTTTTTTTTTCTTTTTTTTTTAATTTTTAATACACTAATAATTATTATAATATTATATAAGTACAATAGAGTCATGTATAAATCAATATAATGTATAATATAAATATGTATATATTTCGGAATACATATTTATATATATTAATCTTTTGTATGTATATTTTGTTTTTTAAATTTATTTTTGTATAAATATAATTAAATATTTTACTCTTCACCTTTTTCTTTATATATTATTAATTTTTTCAATCAAAATTGTTATCAATTGTTTTATTCTAATTTATATATTAATCAAAAAATAATTATTAATGTTAATATAAAATTTAACTGAATTAATGAAAAAGTTTCAATTTGCAATTATTTATTTTTATTATTATGCAAAAAAAAAATTAATAACAAAATAAAAAATTAAGCAAAAATTTTAGATTTTAAATAAAATATTGGTTTTGGTCCATTAAAAATATTTTCATTGTAATATATACAAGCAAAATATTATTAAACCTCAGTTAGGATTATTAAACGTTTATGTTTTCAAAACATAATCAATTCCACAATATTTAAGGTTTTTATATTGGATTTGTATCGCAGCACATTAGGCCATAATCAATTAGCGGGAAGGCTCGAAGAATTTCAAGGGTTAAAGTTTTTAGATGCTACGATTACAAAAGAATTTTAATTTTCATAAAAAATTTTAATACTTTTAGGCATATTTTTTGGTAATATACCTTATAACATACAAAAAATTAATTTTAGAATTTTTGAATTCAGGGAAGTAAATTTAAAATCATTATGATAAAAATTTTCAAAATTCAAAAAGATTAAATACATTTACTTCATTTCAATTACAATATTATTATTCTCTTTTATAGCCAATTACAAGTAAACAACTTAGATTCTTGCTTCTCACATTATTTAACAAAATAATTTGGGAAAACAATTACTCTGACCCATTTTGCGATTTTAACATACCGTGACATATTTAATTTTCTTTTTTTATTAAAAATCCAAATTTTTTTTTTTTTTAAGAATTTATTTGAAACATAAAATTCATTATATTTAATAGTGATCTGTAAAACTAAATACAATAAGAATTAAATATTTCTGTTTGATTTTTATAATTAAAAAAAAAAAGAAGAACGAAAATTTTCTTATAACATTTTGTAAATATTTTTTTTTTTTCTTTTTGTATTTTTTTTAAATATTATTATGATATTAATGTTATTTAATTTCATACTTTTTTAACTTTTTTTTTTATTTTATTTTATATTTTTTTTTTAATCATCTTAAGCATCTTAGAGATCTAATATTCATTTGATTATACTTCATTATATAATTATATTATATTTTTCTTTCACTTTTTTTTTTCTTCTCATTTAAAATATATAATAGAAACAATAATTTTATATTTAATATATAAATGTTTTATGAAAAAGAACAAAAAACTTAAAAAAAAAAACAAAATATATAATATGAATTTTTTATAATACATAATAATTATACAAAAAAAACAAAAAAAATTTAATAACTTATACTAAAAAATAAAATAGATCGTTATGTAATTTACATTTATTTCAATTTCAAATTCATTACAATTTAATTTTTAATTTCAAGTAAAAAAAAAAATGGATGAAAAAGCAAATAAAAAAAAAAGAAATTATATTGTAATTATTTTCCCCCAAAAATTATAAAATATATATCGAAATTATCACAGATTTAGTATTTTCGAATTAGAAAAACCCAAAAACAAAAGTAATAAAGTAAAATTTTGTAGACAAAAAATACAAAAAAGAAATAATTAAACTTAATTTTACAGACTTTTATTTTTTTTTTTTTTAATAATTTAATTTTGAAATATTTTGAAATATTTTAAGAACAAAATAACTTAACAGGTTTATGCAAAATTAAATTAAATAGAAATTTAATGCAAAATAAAATTACTTACAATTATTATAAATGTATATTTAAAATTTAGAATTTAAAATATAACATATGAATTTTTAATTTAACAAAAATGAATTTAATTTAAATTAAAAAAGAAAATTTAATTACAAAAAAGAAAAAATTTAAATTTTAAAAAATAGTATTTAAAGGTAAGAGAAATTTTATTTCAGAATTTTATTACTATAATAGCATAAATTCTGTTAAATTATAATTGTCCTTAAAATATTACATTTTAATTATTAAATGTAGGTTATGCATAACATGAATGTATATTAAAAAATACAGGTTTTGGTTATTTTTTTTTTTTTTTGTTGCTTTTTAAAAGCATTTTTGAAATTTTACTTTATTTTTCATATAATTTCTTTTTTTGTAAATTTTATATTTTAAATATCTCTTTATACTTGATTTTAATTTTTGATTTTAATTCGCTTTTATTTCCTATAAATTATTATTTTTTTTAAATTTCATTTTAAAATAATTTTTAATTAAAAAAAAAAAAAATTAATAAGCCAACATTTTATTTTAATTTTCTTTACAATTCATTTATCTTTTTATTTTTTGAATAATTTGTTATTTTACTTTAATTATTACATTAAAATTTATATAAATAAGGGAAGTCTAGGATTTTTTTTTTTTAATTTTTTTTTTCAATTTTATGCAATTATAATGATGTAAACAGTGTATGAAAATTTTTTTTTTGTATGTGAATGAATTATTTTATATTGAAATTTTAATATAATAATGAATATTTCTCTTTAATTTTATATTTTATATAATATTATTTATAAATAGAGTTAACGTTTATAGGCGCACTATTCCAATGTAATATGTTTATTTTTTTTTTATACATTATATAAAATTATTATGTGTATATGTAAAAAAAAAACACTCTAAATATTTTGTAAGTGTAATTTTTATTTTATTTTATTTCTATAATTTAGTATAAAAACAAGTTTTCTTAGTTTTTTTTGCTTGATACTTAATTATAAAAATTTTTAATTTCGAATATTTAAATATAATTTTAAATCTTTTTTTATATTATTAATAATTTATTGGAGTAAAAAAATTTTGTAGTTTATACTTCGTTTTCTTTTTTGTTTAGATATAAAAAAACTAAACTCTAAAAAAAGAAACAAGTCTTTTATTAGCTTAATTAAAGATATTTCAATAAATAATTATATGAAATTATAAAAAAAAATATCTGTATAAAATATTTTTTTAGTAAATAATTAATTGAAATTAGACAAGCTATATTATAAAATGATGTCTTTTTCTTGCAAAAATTTGTTAAAGATTATTAATTATTGCTTAAATACCAAATAAAAAGTTATATAAGAAATACAACCTATGAAATGTTATACTGTACTTTTATAAAATATACAATTAAATTTACAATTTTATTATATGTAGAAAAATGAAAAGTATTATTCGAATTTTAAATGAATATAAAGAATTTTTTGAAATATCCTTAATTATAACTATAGAGATTATTATACTTAAAATACATCAATATTATTCTTTAGTACACCAATATGTTTCTTAATGTAATTTATGTAAAGTATAAATTTTCACATTTATTACATGAATATTAAAAAGCACGATTAAAATACAAAATTTTTCGAAAAGTTTTTTATTTTTATGTTATTTGCTTTTCCTCTTTTGATTTGAATACATTACATGAAATACAAAAAATTTTTTCTTCTTACAAATCTTTAGGTGATATTTTTTTTATTTTATATAGACTATGAAATAGCGCACTCTTTAAAAAAAATATCATAAATGTAATATATATATATATTTTTTTTTATTTTTTAGCTATTATAATAATATTAGGTTTGAAATTTTAAAATCTTATTATTTTCTCTAGTTATCTGATAAATAAATATACATTTAATCATACCAATTAATATAAAAATTATATTAAAGAAATAAATATATTTTTGATTTTCAGAAATAATTTGGAAATAATTTATTTATTTTAACATGGCACAAAAATACAAAAAAAAAAAAACACTATATATTAGTAGAATTTTTGAAAAAGAAAAATAATAATAAATTTAGAATTTCAAATCTAATCTATTAATAGCATTTATATTATATTTATTTGTTTTTTTATTTTTATTTTTAAAAAAATTTACTTGATATCTTATATTTTCAATAAATACATATATATTTTTATAGATATTATTCATTTTGCCATATGTTTTTTAATTAAAGCTTGTAATAATCTAACTTTTGCTTTATTTTCTTTATAATTGGCATATGTATCTTCAATTAGTTTTCGATCATTCTTTAACATTTTTCTACCATTTTGCTCTTCAAATAAATTTTCAAAATCACGTATTGATTTTTTTAAATCTTTCTTTTCCTCACGTACTCTTTCTAAATGTGCCCATAGTTCATCTAATGATAGCATATGTAAATTAACATCGTTTGTTGATGTTGGCTGTTGTTGTTGTTGTTGATTTATTGTTGTAGCATTTAATATTTGTTGTTGTTGATCTTGTTGTTGAATTTGATTTGAAGAATCTGTAGTTGAATCAGTTGTTGTAGATTGAATTGAACTATCTGTTGGAGATTCAATTGTTGATCCTGATATTATATTCATATTATTTATATTACCACTACCAATTAAATGATCTGATAATGAATTTGTTGTTGTATCGGTACTAATTGAAGATTGTTGTTGTATTGTTTCATATGTCATGGCTTCATGTTCTAAAATTGTTGGTAATTCAGATCCTACACCACTACCAGCTGGTATTGAAATACTACGTGTTATCATACGTTTTAAACTACGATAACGATCATATAATGGACGTGCTGCATCACGTTCTTCACGTGTTGATGGTCTACCATATAATGATTCAAAATATAAAAGACTATGTTGAACAGCTGTTTTCTCTTGAACTAATTGATCAGATGTTAATGTCTCTAAATTTTCTGGGCGATTTGATTCAGTTCGTTTCTCATTTAATTTCTAAAAATAAAATTTAAAAAACAAAAGATATTTTAATTTCAATTTTCCAATTTCTAGTTTTCATATTTTCAAAATTATTTATACACGTTAATTTTTATTGCAATTCAATTTAAATTTTGACGTTATTACTAAAAATTTTTATCTTCGCACAAGTTTTGAGAACCCACCTAATAAAAATTCTCAAGGATTATACTAAACAAAAGGAACATAAACATTTTAACCAAGACACAAACCGAATGAACAATAAGCTTTTTTTTTATAAATATTTAAACTTTATTTGATATTAAAAATAATGTTGCTGGAAAGTGTTGCAACAAAATAATATTGCCAGATGAGTTTGTTGCTGTAAACATTTATATACAAGAAAAAAACTTGTATGGAATTTTTCTGGACTTATATTTTTAAAAAGAAAACTATTTTTAATGAAACGGAAGTTTGGACTTTTATAGTTTAGTTCAACGAAAGTAAATTTGAGAAAATACAATATAAATTTTCAATACGATATACATACATACATAAAAATTTGTATATATAGTACAATAAAAAGGAAATCTTTCCTGGAACATGACCTTTCTAAATAATTTTTTTTATCTTTTTGAAATCTAATATCGAATTATTACACCAGAGGAATAGCTATTTACATACCTAACAATAAATTTTACAGTACACATATGTACATACGTTACATACATGTTGTTACCTAATATGAAACTTCCTATAAACAATCATAAAATTATTTCTCAATTTTTTTTTTTTCAAATTCTTTTTTTTCCTTCTCTACTTTCAAAATGTTTAATAAAATTTTTTATTCTTTTCCTTTTTCTTTTTTCAATTTTCCAAGAAAAACTATTAAATTTTTGAAAATTCCAAAAAAACTAAATAAATAAGTGGAGCACAATATTTTTTTTTTATTTATAAACATTGGCAAAACATTAAACGACCATGACCTGTTAAAAAGCGGAAAACAACAACAAAATATATTGAAATTCAACATTGAGAAAAACACTTGTCTCGTTATACACCACAGCATAGGAATAAAACAATAAAAATAGAGTAAATAAGAATAACAACAATATCTTCATGTGGTGTTTAAGATTACCAACGTTAATTGAATTCAAATTTTTTGGATTAATATTATTTACATTGTGCTTTGAATTTGTGTGTATGAATTTTGGTAAACCAATTAAATAGGTCTTCGATTATATTTAGATTTTTCGAAAATTCATTAAATGCTTCTACAAAAATGTTAATCTGTTTTAAATTGAAATAATTATCTGTTCAGATTTCACTTTACTTTTACCTTCTCTTTATACAATTTTATCAGATCCTTCGGTTTTAACACAAATTTCAAAAAAAAAATTATTTAGAAATGAAAATAAAAATAAATAGTTTTTTGCTTAAAATAATAAAGAATGGCAACCTTAAATATGACCGACATTAAATAAATTGCGGTAATTTTGAATAAAATCAAATGCTAGAGAATAATTATAAGTTAGACAAAGTTTGATGCTCAATTCTTATATTTTTTTTTTGCTACAAAATGAAAATGAAAAGGATAGAAAATTATGAGAAGTCATTAATTATTTTAAGGTTATGTTGTTTTCTTTTTTGTATTTACTAATTTGAAGAATTATTTATTTAGTAAAAAAATTATGCCAAAATGTTTTGAATGAAGAATTAATAATTTAATTTTTGTTTGTCGATGAACTTTATAAATTACTTATATTTTTAAAACTTTGTTCAATATTATAATTAAATATGGCTGAACTACAGGTATGTATGCACGTACATAAATATGTGTAAACTTTTGTTATAACAAGTGTTTTTTTTTTGAATGTCAAATTATTTTTCAATACTAATTAATCAATTAACTATACATTATTAATTGCCTAATAATAATTAAATTAATCTTGTTTGCGAATAATCAAAATAATAAAAAATTTAAATAAACTTACATTTTGTATTTCGTCCAAAGTTTCTTTCATTTTATCTAATTTTTGATTAGCATCTAATCCACCACTAACTTTTAAACCTAATGCTGCCATTGGATCAGATTTCAATTCTTGTTTTTCTTTTCTTAATTTATTAATTTCAGCTAATGCTGCTTTAATTTGTTTATCATTATAACGTTCAATTTGTGATGGTCTATAACCATATGTCTTTTCATAATTTTCCTCCAATAATGTTACTTTCTTCTTTAATGCATTTAATTTTTTATTAACAATTTTTAAACGTTCTTCGGGTGTTTGTAATAAACCTAATGGTAAGACATTTTGCATTACTTCACGTGTTTTTAAATTTTCCATTTTTGTAAATGTACGAAATGATTTAATTGGTTCATTATCAACAATAACAGCTGGTGCAGCAATTATTGCTGGTGATTGTGATAATGAATCAGATATAAAACTATTATTGCTATATTGATGATGATGATTATTATTATTTGTTGTTGATGTACAAGTTTTATTTGTACCGCTATAAGATGATGTAGAATCATCATCATTAAATGTAGCAAAACGTCTACATAAAACTGGTGTTGTTTGAATATCTTGTGGTGAACGATCCCAAGGCAGTGGCATAGCTGTAGAGGCATCTTGGTTTTGATGATGTTGGTGTTGTTGTTGTTGATTTGATATTTGAATACCACCATTGTTATTTTTTTGTTGTTGTTTTAATTGTTGATGTTGTTGTTGTTGTTGCTGCTGCTTTTGTTGTTGTTGTTGCAAACACAAATCAATTAAATTATTGTCGTTATAATCATTTGTCTGTGATGCTGATGTTGGTGGTTGTATTGATGATGATATAATTGGTTCGCCATCAGCAGCTTCTTCTTTACGATGTTCTTCTAATTTCAATTTACTGACGAAACCACGACGTTCATATTTTAGATGAGATATGTCATATTTATAAGCATTTTCATCGCCAGATCGACGTGAATATTTACCACCGCCACTACCAGAATTCGAACCGACTTTCTTAACAACACCTGATTTACGACCAGGTGGTGCACGAGTCTTCGAAAAACGTTCTGATGAACGCCGACGTTCATTTTCATTTTCGGATGAATCATCAAAACGATGCGGCGACCAACGGTGATTATTTGATCTAGCTGGGCTAGTATCCAAACGGAGACGAATTATAAAATTATTTGTTGGTTCATTTTGTTGTTGTTGTTGCTGTTGTTGTTGACTGTCTCCACTTTTATGACTCTTTACAGATTTAACTATTAAAATAAATTGGAAAAATTTTATAATATTTGATTTATAAATAGTAAATATTATTTGCACATTGCTGACAGAATAAAATGTTAAAAATGATTTAATTTTGGTTTAGGTTTGATTGAGTGAAAAAGGTTTAATGGTCAAAAAATTTTGAAAAAAAAAAAATTTTAACCAACAATGTATCAAATTTAAAAAAAAAAATCATTACAAATTTCACTTACTAGAATGATTATCATTCTCTGCAATTGGTTTCAAATTATTTGATGTTGTGTCTTCATTACAATCGATATTTGTGTTTCGTTCTTGTAATGGTTGTTTCTTAAAATCTTCATGAGATGATACACGACGTATCACTTCACAATCAGAACTTGTTATTAATTCTTCACTATTGGATCGTTGTAATTTACGATCAACTTGCGTTATTGATGATGTACTATCTAAACGTTCTTTTCGTTTTCTTGACTTTTGCCATTCTAATGGATCAATATATTCGGGTAAATAGCTTGGATAATTTTGTTGTAATTGATATTGTTGTTGTTGATTTTCTTGTTGACCATATTGTTGTGTTGAATAGTGATGATGATGACCATGATGATGATGACCGTGATGATGATGATGATGGTGATGATGATGACCATGTAAATGTTGGGAATTTTTTATATTATTTGCATTTTCATTATCGTTAACGCTAAGGATAAGGGCTTGTGATGATATTATTGCACAATTATCATTACATAAATTATTTTCATTATTTTCAATATCTAAATTATCATTTGAAGATGATGGGGTTGAAGATGTACTCGATGTACCGGTTAGACGACTTAAGTCGCCTTCACTCTGGCCATTGTTGGGATGGCGCATGCCGCACTATAAATAAAAAAAAAATTGAAAAATATGTTAAAAATAAAATCAAAGGTTAAAAAAATTTTGTGTAATTTTTTTAATAATTTAATTTAAATACATTCTTTATGTAATTTTGAATTAATGTTGTCGTCTTGTTGCATTTTAATGCTTATTTAATAATAGAAACAAAAATGAGAGATAAACGAAAAGAGATAAACTATTTCTCATATATTGTGTATTTACAGTTACAAAACAAATAAAACGGAAATATTCAATTTGTGAACACATTTTTATCAATTGTTATATTCTCAATTTAAGTGTCAAATGCAAGTAATAATAAAATTTATTGAGAAATTACTAATTTATAAGTGTGTTCATATTAAATGTATACATACATGTATGTAAGCACATGTACACAGCATGTACACAAAGTTTTACACATACTTTGGTCGGCTTGCTACACCTGCATACATATTATGTAAATGTATGTGTACGAAATTGAATTTTTTTTATTACTTATATTGTTAAAAATTGGAGACAAGATTACAGCAAGGGCGACCAGAGTTTATACAATAAAATTTTCCATAAGAGTATTCATACTATGCAATGATTTTAAAAATTGTATTATAGGTGATCCAATTTTGTTCAACATTTTACCGGTCCGTTAAATTTTATGGGTCTTTAAAATTTAGTACAATAGGCACTATGTTAAGTATTCAATGATTTTAAACTTAAAATTGTTAAATAGTTTCCTAATATGTCAAATGTTATACAAGTCTTTCATTTAAAATTAATAATTTCAATTCTTTTTATAAATGTTTTCAATTAAAAGTTGTCTAATTTCTGATCAAATTTTGACAAAAATTTCTCTTTTGCATGTTTTCAAAAATTTCAGCTAACAATTCTTTTATTTCTGATACAATCGAACTCATTTTGATGTAGGTACGTACCATCTTTAGAAATCTCTTGTTACAAAATCATGTTTCCATGGATAATTTTAGTCAATTTATATTAAACAGAAATTTATTTCTGACAATTTCAAATTTAAATTTAAGTAGTGCATAAGTACAATATATAACAAAAGATTTGTAAGATATTTAACCTGATTTTAAATGAATAATTTGTAATTTTATGACAAAAAGAAATTCCATTTTATGTTTTATATTAAATGTTCTTATTAATTTTAAGCACAAAAGTATTTTATTTTATAAATTGAGATTTATTTTGATCATGGACATGATTTATTATATTCAATTCATGATTATATAAATTGGAATGCAAATATATGGAATTTTTTTTTAACTTTAAAAAATGATTAGGTATTAAAGGAAATGTCTATTATTCTATTAAATTAATAAAGAGAGCACGTGATTTTTGTAACATGCTAAAATAGAAGTAAGAATAAAGAAACAATAAAGAGTATATGAGTCATATGAGAACATAATTTGAATGACAGTGAAAATGTCAATGATAGCAGAAAAATTTTAATAAAAGAAAGTTTATTTACAGAATTTTGGTATTTAACTCAATTGTTCATGACTTTTTGTAATTAGCTAAAATTTTTCCAAAATTTCTGTACTTTGTATATTAAAATTTTACTGCAAAATAGATGACAACTAATTATATATTTAAATAATATCAGATTTAGCCGAGAGAGGGAAATTTTGAAAAAGATTGACAGAAAATTATTTTCATAATTCCATTTATGCATAAGTACTCGTATATGTAAGTATTTATTTTGAAATCTTTAGAAATTTTATCGCCAATTTTGACCTAAAAATTTAAGTACCTATACAAGTACTTTTTACAGACATATAACTGACTGTAAACTATATTTATAATATACTGTAATAACCGATATTTATAAATATCATAATAATGTACTTAATGTATAACAATTTTTCATTTATTTGATTTCGAACACATATTTTTATTACCTAGTAGCGGATTTTTATAATTCAAATTTGCATTAAGCATAAATTTTTTTTTTATATAAAAAAATAATAATTTCAGGTCATTGTCGTTGCGCTAAGAATGCAATAAAAAATGACTATTTATAGAAATTGATAAGAATATGTCATATACAAATGATACTTTTTGTACTATTATCAATTTACTATTATTAAAGAACAATGCATTATCATTGTTTTGGTTTCAATTATAATTAAATATTATTGACGTGTAAGTCCAGTATAACAATATTGTTTTTTTTTAGGTCAATTATAAAAACAATATACGAAAGGGGATTATTGTGGATTTCTATTTTGAATAGAAAATGAAATATTTTATTCCACTGATACATTACATACTACAATTAAGTAGAAGAGTATTTATTTTAAACTCTCTTCTCGCAGTTCTCTTTCCCCCAATCAATTAATTCAGAATGCGTTATCCAAAAATCATTGCATTAAACTTAATGTAGATTTTAAAATTAGTATACTGCATTACTGTAGAACAAATATGAAATTGAAATATTTCAAATAAAAGATTTATATTTAAAGTGAAGTGTATAACAGTTTTAGAAAATGAACTATATTAACAGTAATTTATGTAAAATATTTAACCGACTTCACGAATAAAAATTTTAATTCATTTTGCGTAAAAATTCGAACAATTTTGTCCAATCATTCATCATTATTTTGAGGAACAAAATTGAATTATTTTATCATTTGCTCTTCTTTTGCAATAACAATATTCAATAAATAATTACATAAACATTTATGTCCGATAAAATATCACTTTCACGAACTATGTAAATCAGACTCCCTCCATTGTATATTCTGAACGGTCGTTGAAGAGACAACCTTACATATTCTGTGTAATTGTTGCGTTCTGGCTGTCAAGAGATACAGAAGGTTTTGGGCGGAGCTTTGTTAGTGTTCCGGATATTTCCGGATATTTGGGATACGAGAGAGCTACGATAATCCAGTTCTGGCTGCGATGGCCGAAAGGGAAGAATTTTCTTTGTCAATATCTCTCATTAGTAATCTACAATTTACAATCTACATAGGTATTTCAAGAATTCCAATTTGTAATCGAAGAAATAAATTTAAATATGAGACAATAAAATTAAATTTTTTTCAAAAAATTTTCATACTTGAATATTTTATTCACTGTAACCAATACAAATTTTCTTTCTACACCTTAATCATTATTAAGCGCAAAAGTTGTAGAGGTCAATAAAATAGTTTAAAAAAAATTAACATGATCATTATAATTAACATGTTAGTAATAACATTTAATATACTAAGTTCATTGAAGTAACATCATCTATTATTATAAATTTGTGGTTTCTCGTTTTAATAATGGAAATCCCAATTCAAAGATGTAGAGCTTTATAAAATTGCTTATAATTTTATGGCTGAGAGGGGGATTCACTTACAAATTATGAATTTGCGGTTTTATTGTTATACTTAGTTAAGTATTAATAAATTTGGAACAAATATAGAATTTTTTTTTGGAAATGCTTTTTACTAATAAATAATAAAAAAGTAACATAGCGACTAAAATTATATTCGAAAAAATTCATATTTAATTTTGGGTGTTAACTAATTACAAAAAAATAATAATAGTATCTTTCTCTCTCTGTCTTTTGCACAAGTTGAACATTTTCTTAAAAATTTTAAGAAATCGCGTAATAAATAAATTTTATTATCTAATTAATTCTCATTTGCACGTCATACATAAATTACTTATAGGTATAAGAAAAAATTCAAAAAATTTTTATATATTAATGACATTACTTTTTGGCTAAAATTAACACATTAAAATTTTTATATAAAAGCTATAATAATTTAATTTACGCCCATATATTGAGTTCATTTCTCGATAACTTTTTTCTAAATTTAAAAATATTTTATAATTTTTAATTTTGTTGAAATTTGCAAAAAATTTCAATTAATTTTTTTTTTTAATATTAAGGATGGGCCTTAAGTAAATATAATTAAATTAATATGAAAAAATAATATTCGAATTTATAATAAGTATAGCAGTAAAAGCCATTCTAATTCCAAAGCTCTTTCTAATTCGAAAAAATGCAAAAAGAAAAAAAAATTTTGTTTACGGAATCGAAAAAATTGTTACACATTAACATAATCAAGCTAAGAAAACAAAAAAAAAAAAGTAGAAATTACTGGCAAAAAACCACAAAATAGATGTCATCTTTAAAAATAACAATTTATTCTGAATTTGATTTAATTACCTATAATTTTATAAAAATTAAAATAAAATATTCATAAAATTGGTATAGAAATAATATGTAAATTTCTCTTTTCATTTTTTTTTTGTATATTTTTGGGCGCTAATAGAAACCGGCTTTTTGCATATTTTTTTTACTTAAAATATTTTTTAAAGGTAAATTTTTAAAGAAAATAGAAAAAAATTTTAATAAAAGCGTTCTTGAACCGGTTTATCTATACAAAATTTATTAATCAATAAAAAAAAAATAGTAAATTTATCAAAACAAAATTAACATTATTAAAACATTCGATACCAAATTTTTTGTGTAACTAACTACTAAACGTATATTTTTATAAATAAATATTTAGTAAAATAAATTATAATTTTGTTACATCACAGTTCTGATAACTTTGCTTTATTGATGTATAGTTATAAGTCCCATAAAGAATTACACTTAATATGAAGTCAATAGAGCTTCTTAATTCCACTGGTATTGCAGATTTGAGACCCACCACAAGTGGATCCCTCAAATCAGGAATTTCAAAATAAATTCAAAATACCCTACAGAACTTTATTAAATAACATTTTTATATTTGTAATATTAATTGTGAATATAAAATGTAATGGAACTAAATCCATATAATAATTATTAACCAAAGGCTAAAATGATTATATTGAAAAGAAATATTAACAGAATATACATACATGGTAATCAGAAACATCTACTTCTAAAACAATCCGAAATAGCAAGCAGGAATTACTGTGACGACGACAAGGAGATTACGGTGGCTCATCTCCTTCACTTATGTCCAGCTTTGGCAGAAAGAAGGCAGAAATTCATTGGA